AACTACAGGAATAATAATTCACTCAATATCACATCTGTAGGTACAATATTGTTGAAAAATTATTTACAACTTCGAAATGAAATGAAATAGTTTATTCAGTACATAGGCCCTTTCCGAGGCACTTATACACTTCATAATCTGTACTTACAAGCTTTATGAATGGTAACGATTTTCTTATCATTGAAAATTTTACCGTCATTAAATAATAATAAGTATTGTAAGTGTATTGTCGATGATACTGAATAAACATTTTTTCTTTCTTTCTTTCTTTCTTTCTAAATACAGAATGCATTATTTATTGGCTCCAAACGAGAATTAAATGTATAAAAACAATTCAAGCCTGCTTATTACATTTCCAACTGGCAATTTTCCCCGGGAAATGGAACAAAATCGAAATCGTACTTCGGTGTCACATTTATTAATGGCGCTGAGTGATGGCAGTGTAATATATTTCTCGGAAGTGCGACACCCTGTATGTTTATTAAATATTGCAAATTAAAAAATAAATCGGATTTCTTGGTAAAAGTCCTTTTTTTTTTGCAATTTAGAAATTTAAACGCAATTTTACACGTCCTATTGTATGTATTTTTAGCCGATACCTAGGTACGTCAAATTTTTCTAGATGAATCTAAATCAAGTTCAATTATTTACAAACGTATTTAATAGAAAACAACAAAGTGGACCGACGACCTCTTAAGTAGAAAGAAGGCGCTGGATGCAGGTCGCTATACCAACCGCGCGATGTGGAAATCATTGGGGGAGGCCTATGTTCAGCAGTGGACGAAATGTCTGACCTGTGTCTGAAATGATGATGATGATAATAATAGAAGAAAAGTACTTACATGGTGTTCAGCAGTTCAGTCTCGAATACGGAACCCGTAATTTGTGAATCCCACTCACACTTGGCCAATTTTACTTTTGTACAAAAAGCTCTCGGAAGTTTTATTCATCTCTCACTAAGCATCATTATTAAAAAGCTTTGTCTTCGTAAGTGCATTTGAGAAACAGGTTTCCTGATTAAAGTCTCATTCAAAGCCCTCAGTCTTTTTTTTTACCTACTAACCAGGTGAAACCTTGACCCAAATTAGACTCTGTTGATCGAAATATAAAATTCTTAGCTTGCTCCAAAGTGTAGCTTTCAAAGAAAATTCTAAACGGATTGTGCTAAACAACGGGGGCTGTCACACGCCATTTTGATTTTTTAATGGATCATGTTTTTATCGATAAAATATGTAACTGTTTGGTGTCATTATCGTATTTATTATTTTTATATTTACGAATTTATAGTTATATCTGTATTTTCATAGTCTTTATTTTTTCTTAAGGCCAACTTTATTGTACAAAAGAAATTCAAAACGGCCAACCCTAAACAGAATCCGTAGAATATTACAGTGACGTCATCTCAAGATGGCGTCACTATTATTAAATCGGCTGAAATCGTTCCTCAAAAAGGAACAGGATATTGGAATTTTAGTACAAAAATGCAGAAAGGTCGGAAACGAAAAATAAATATGTAGGTCTTGTGTTCATAAAAAATAGTTTTTTTTTTTAATATGAAAATGACTTTACTATTTAAGTAAGTACTACGAAAATGTAAAATGAGTGCAAAATAATAAAGTGTTCAGTTTCACTACTTTTGTAAAAATGGTACGTAAATCTACGCAGAAAAATAATTTGAAAATAAAAGATAGCATAAGAGTAACAGTATTTTGAAGATGCATTTTTTATTTTGTTAAAGAAGAAGAATAAAAAACAACACTCACGATCATATCGCTTTAATCCAAACATAGTTTATGTTTACGCTATATTTCCACACCAACATCGTCGTCTTGTATGTACACAAATATCTATGTTTTACGTAACATTTATTTTATAATTTAATTTATTTACAAAAGTTATAAATTTATTTTCATAGTTTTAGTTACCATAATTTTAACATGTAGGTACATTTAAATTAATATAATTAATAAATATCAATGTGAAACGTCTTGCGTTATCTGACTAATTACATATTTTTGGTTTAATAAATTGAATAATAAGTTCCGATAATTTTTTTACAGGATGTTAAAAATTAACGGGGGATTGCTTAAGAATTGACATTACATTTTTTCTTTTATAATCTTTTTTCATTTATATTGGGACTCTTCCTAAAGATTAGTTCGGTTTTTAACATCCTGTAAAATAAAATTATTAGTTGATCATAAAATAATGTATAGCGAACAACATTTTCAACTCTGCAAAAGTGTAATTTAAATTTTGTATTTCTCCAATTGATCTAGGAATTGATTTGATTAATTTATTTTTATTCAATAATTTAATACTGCAACATTTACACGACAATTTACATTAATTGTAAGGCTATGGTGTCCTATAAACGTCGTAAGCAGCGTATAATGTCATACCCAAGGCCGCGTCACAATACTTATACTTAAGTAGGTACTAATAAAAGTACCTACTGTTGTGGTCTCTTTCAGACCTCAAAAAGTTAAAATACCTAGCGGAATAGAGCAACAAAGGTCTGAGCGAGCGAGATGTCACTAGCAGCAACACTGTGTGATAAAAAGAGATGCGAGATGCGACGTATCATTTGACAGTTCGTTAGCACTTATTGGCACGCTGAAAATTCGAACTCTGAGATTTGTTCAGATTCCACCTGAGTGAAACCGTGGAACTTTATGAGAAATTCTTCTTCCTCGGTCCCTCACTGATGAGGATCGCGACCACAGATAGTGTTCCTCCACAGACTGCGGTCATAAGCTGTGTGGACCGCACGATGCAAACTCCCGCCCACCGTCTTCCTCACCGCGTCCGACCATATCGTCGGTGCCCTGCCCCGAGCGCGTCTGCCTTCCATTTGTCCCAAGATAATTTGTTTCTCCAGACAATGCCAATTATGAGAAATAGTGCTTCAGAAACGTGGTGACTGGATCAGTGATTGATTTATTGAACAAAACAATAAAATCGGTTTCGATTGACACCTCGTGATTGTTGAATCCGAAGGAATATTAACTTTATGATATGAAAGTTTGGCGCTGACGTCGTACGCCGCGTATAGCGTTTAATAGGAGACTGTAGCCTAAATAAACAACATTTCTGTTATATTGTATTCATAATCCTTCGCGACTCATAATTTGTAATGACTAGAATAAATACACAGATTGTGAAATTATACGAATACTAATCTGTTTTAACTACGCTAAAGCCTTTTTAGAATAAAGTATTAGTATTTAGAACAAGGGATGAATACATTTTGGCTTCAATATTTATACATTCTGATCTGTGAAAATTGTTCGACAGGATTTATGAAGCCATATTTTAATCGTTTCTTTTAATCTTTGCTTGTTTGACGGGTTAATACTTTACCAAAAACTTTGGGGTAGGTAACTAACATAATTATTGTAGGCCATTTCACTTTTTTAAACTTAGAAATAGAGACATACAAGCATATTATTTACATACGCACCAGTTACTTTACTTACTAACATGTCAATTTTTTCTTTTTACTGGAAAATCTTCATAGACTTTTTTGACGCACTCGATATCGAATACGTTTGATAGTTTGATATAAACTCACAATAATCCCTCTGAACGTAGGCTTATAGTACTTTGCCAAAGGCTAAAATGCGCTTCCAGGAATATCATAAACAATATTTTTTCCCTCGAAATGTACCTGATGAAACATAGTTGGGTGCCGTTACCGGAAAACTACAATTACCGTGAAAAAGTTTTTTTTAAATATTTCTATGCATACTGACAAATTCGCGATATACAGCGAAACACATAAACTCTTAAAACAGTATAACAATTTAACTGGATATCTCTCAAATTAGGCTCTCCGTCGAACAAGCAAAAAAAAAAATTACAAAGATTTTTTTCAGATGACATTTAAATCGCCTCTAATACCATTATACAGTTTTCAATATAAATTACCGAAGAAGCAACAATAATAACTAATCTATATAAAAATGACAAATACAGACTTCTAAGTAAAGATGCCACAAGTGCCTTTTTCCTGGTATGCGGGTTTCAGCACGCATGCGAATCTGGTCTCTCCAATCTGTGGCGTGCGAATATAATAGAAAAAACATATGAAATAATTAAATGCGCTTAGACCGCATGTTTACCAAATCCGCATAAGAAAAAGGCACTTATACATATTTAACGGCTCAGATAATAAAATTGTTATAGCCAGGTCTATTTCCATCATTATCACCAAATACGACTAGTGATGACCAATACCAAAGTTATAGGTCACGCAAAGAAAGTTGAGGTCATGAATACTAGCAAAGATTTGGTTTCTGTATTAATGTACTCGGTCTGAGGTCTTGCATAGACGGCCTGAGAGGTGCTTTCTGTCTCCCTTGCAGACTTGCAGACGAGAGTGAGCTAGCTAGTGTATTCGATATTTAAACTGTATTCAAATAAGTACAAGTTTGCCTCAACTTTCGTTGCACGACCTATAATGGACAAGAAGTTTATAAAATTATTTTCATAATGACGATAGTTAGGCATCAGACACCATTTAGTAGCAAAGATATTATTTACAACACAACTATCCCTGGCAAGAATAACAAAATGTCTATCGATAGCGACATTGATAGTTTGACATCTATATTTCTAAGTACCTACTCCAATAAATGCTGCTAAATAAACATTCAGTCTTTATAAATTAATTTCTTTACATTACAATTCTAAGTGCGAAGCGTCAGTTACGGATAGAGGTAATGAGTTTAAACGTTTAGCATTTTGAAGGAATAGCCGGCTTCTGATTACCCATTCAGATTCACAAACGTGTTATTCTATAAGTTTGGCTATCTTCGTCACTCTTTAGCGGTATGCAAGGAGTGTGAAAAAGACAGGTAGACCCGGTAAAATTTAAAAAACGACAGACGTGACGAACGATACAGTTTAATACAGATAACTTCCTATTTATCAATACAGGTACAATGTTGAGGTTAGAAGGCATAATATCTATTTGTGCGCTGCTCGGTAACATGTGTTGTTGTAGCACGATATTAAAAAAATATACATCTTGTGAAGAAATACGAGTACCTACATAGTTTACGAGTATACACAGCAAACACAGATAAAGGTTCCTTTATTTCAATGCGTATAAAAAGCGAAACGAAATCAAAAGTTATTTTCAAACATTTTCAATAGATCTGCCAGAACAAAATGAGACGAAAAGTTATAACACCTGTGGGTAATGAAATAGTAAGCCTTATCTCTGTTTGCTTGTGGTTAATATCTGCGAAATAGATAAGCATTCTTACTCTTAAAGCTCTGGTTCACACAAAATGAGATCTTACTTGACGATTGACTGAGAGCGCGCCTAACCCTGGATCCGAGGAGGGACGAACACGCTCCCAGGGTGCGGGCTACCTCCTAGACCTACAATATTGACACAACAACACCTTCTTAAAAGCTTGCCTAAACACCTTATTGAATATGGTGTAGAATATAGGATTCACCATCGAACTGGCGTAGCCCAACCACAGCACGAAGTCGAAAACCCAAGGCGAAATCCGCCTCTCGCATTCGGGACAAACTGCCGGAACCATATTCAGGATGAAAAATGGCGCCCAAAGAACGACGAAAGTAAAAAACACGACTCCGAGAACTTTCGTGGCTTTTTGCTCCAGGCGCAGAATCCTGCCGTGGCGGGAAGAATTTCTGGAAATGACACTTGAGTTTCTGGAATGGTGTGCTCTAGGTGTTTGGCGTTGGGGACTCGAAGATATCTGCTGCTGTGGACGAGCATTTATTGACCTCTGAGCTCTGATGCTTCGCACTGGAGTCGATAAAGTAGTCCTTGCTCCTCCAAAACTGGAACCTCTTCTGAACCTCCTAGCTTCATCCCATGTAACCATAGAAGCCGCTCCTCGGCTAGATCTCCTAAAGTACTGAGGCTCGTCTTTCAAATTACCATTCCGAGGGTAACCATTACATCCGTTGATGTCGCCACCAGGAACTATAATAACTTCTGTCGTTCTTCTAGGAGGAGTAGACTCTGATCCAAAGTAAGGGCACGTACACGGAGGGGGAAGTAAAAGGCCATCTTCAGAACTTCTAGACTTAGCTGTTAAAGTTGCTGGAGCTAGCAAGCCGTCGTTGCTTTCGTCATCTGACGCACTCCTGGGCCTATGTAAGGGTGTGTTGGGATCACAAGTGGATGACGGGCGTCTTCGGTCTTGAAGCATAGATGATGGTGAGCTAGACGACACGCTCAGTGACCCTGGAGTGAGCATACCGCATCTTTCCGATATGTTTGTCCTGTCAACAATAGATCTTATTAAGCGTGGGTTTGACGTTAGTAATATAGGACCAAAAAAGGAGCAACAATCAATTTCGGGCCTAAAAATACGACGACTTTTTAAAGTGAAACAATCGCGACGGATGGAATTTTGGGAACGCTGTAAAAGCAAACATGATTACAGAAACGCAAACAATACAAAGTAAACAGCCGTCCTTTTTCCAGAAACGATAAATAAAATAGTAAGTGCGTATTGAACTCCCGAAGCGAAATATAAGTAAATTAGTACGTAGATACGTATTGTACTGCGGTGATTGTTGTGAAACTAAATATTTATTTGTCATGGCTTGCTACTGCGGCGCTATTTAATAAATTAATTGCTAAAAATTGATTCAACAAGCAAATACAGTGTTGAAAATAATTTTGGTAATAAACACGAACCTGGAGGCAATATACATAATTAACATACGGATAATAAACTAGTAAGTAGATCCTCTTTAATGTATGCGTACGTACGCAAAAACAGTCAATCAAAAATCAGAATAGAAATTGGAACGGTATGAATCAGTCACTGTTATTTTGTTATCGCCAGAAAGCGACCACACCCAGACCAATCCTATCAGCCTAGAAAATGCGCCGTGATAAGGTTTTATCGTGCCATTTTATCGACGTCACGTGATAAACCCATACGTTTATCATCGATAAGATTTTATCTTGGTGCGCACCTAACCTGGCTGGAAAAGAACAGCTGTTTGAAACAAAAGAACAAGTAGACTCTCCCGATCGCGCGATTGCATCACCGCCCAAAGCAGCCGTATCTTGCGTTGAATTTTGAAGCATATGCCAATTGGAATACCCTTTAAACTGCGGTTTGGTGGCAGCAGAAGCCTCAAGGCCGCGGGATAGGCGCAACATCTCAGCCCCGAACTGGTGCAGTGCGGTCATTGCCGACGGGGCCGGCTCGCTGTGCAACACAACACGGTATGAGGCAGGCACACAGACAGCATACATGGATGACACAGAAGGCTTTGGTTAAGTCCGCGTCATAAGAAACTGACAAACTTTCAAACAAATAGGAAGCCGAATGACATTGAGCAAGTTCTTTTACTTTCTTAAGAAAAGAGAATGAAGTAAAATGGCAAACTTAGAAAAAATTAAGCTGAATTTTGAAATATTCTGCATAGCAACATAGCAAGTTCATAATATTTTTTTAAGAAAAGGTAAAGCAACATTGAAAATATGACGACAAGTATATTCCCATCCTCTATAAAGGGTTAACTCAAGTTGCAAAGCGAATTTCAGAGTAAACTTTGTTTGAGATTTTATTTACAAAATTGCCAGTGACTTTGACGCGGACTATACAGCACATAGATCATAAAGGCACAGAAGGCTCTGTTCAATACATGTAACTTAGTAAAGTACAGAAAACGGCACAAAACAGTTTCATATGAAAGTTGTAGTTATTTTGAGACATATACAGTTTGAAGTGCTATCGATTGTTTTTTTTTAATGCAGAACAAGGCAGGTATTTGACCGCAATCGCACCTGATGTTAAGTGAGATGGTACATAATATCTGCCCTGTAAGTGCCTATTCACTCTCGCCTTAAGCTATTGGCCGGTTCGTTTCTCCCGGAATTCAACGTTGACCCTAAAATTTTCTCACACACTTGCATATTATCCAGAGCCTACTGTGTTTGTTAACATTGTTACATACATCAGTATGAAGCTACGCTTAATAGCAACATTGAAATGTCCATTGGCAGTTAAATACACACGATGTAAAATGTCATCTGCATTTCAAATTATTTTAATAGTCCATATCCATTGTTTATCCATTGTTTTGTATTGTCATAATGTGTGTTAATAAAGTCATTTTTTTATTATTAATAGTCGACTGCATCTGACATGAAAATATGTTATTTTAATGTAAATCAACATTTTGTTACCGATAATTTGAACATTCATTGTTATAAAATATGAAGTCATAATAATACAGGGTGGAAACGATAAGTAATATTACTGGATTATTTCTAAAGATATCTAAAAACTGGTTAGGTACTGATCCTGAAAGCGCTTCATGAACTCTATCAAACGGTGTAAATAACAGGTTACAGAATAATCTGGATCTATCTGAAAATTCAATGTTCCCAGCTTCCATACATTTACTACAGCTAATTAAGTTATCCTTTCCGCCCTGTATAATTAACTCAAGGAAAAGAATTCGAATTCCAATTCATAAACAAGTATGCTTTATTTAAAATGCTTCAAAAGCAAGTGATAACTAAAGTGATTGACTATTTACGTTTCACATTCGTCTAGAACGTTTCAGAAACACAGAAATAGTTCTCTCTCGTGCCAATGGACATTTGAAACAACACAGTTTGGCACATCGAAGTCTTATTACAAACAAACATAATGTTAAAACAATGAGGGTTTTCGCGATTGAAAAATCCGCCAGATGGCAATACGTAGACGCGAGGTCCAAATGCTGCATGATTGGTTATTTTTGACATGACATTGACAGATATGTCAAAATCCCCTAATCATGCAGCATTTGGAATTCCCGTCTACGTATTGCCATCTGGCGGATTTTTCAATCGCGAAAACCCTCATTACAAGAACATTTACACATTTAGGTTACACAATTATTATTAAATACGTAAGCACAAACATGTATTAGATAATATGATGAAACAAATTACCAAATTAACGATTAATTTATAATTATTTACTAAACATTTTTTTTTCATACAAAATAAATTGTATAAAATTCGATTTGTATGAAAATTAAAAAAATTTAGATGATGATATCAAATTTCTGCTTCACCATACCATTTATATGACCATAATATTAACATGGGCTAGTGTCGGCTCATATACCCATTTACCTAACACCCTGTATACATTATACATGTATGTATAGTATGTTTTTTTACTTTAGTTCGTGTACTACACGCTCTACATCTGATCCTGCTTCGAGAAATATTGTATGTACAAAGTAGCAGATAGTTAAGGTTCACAATAACATGGACTGTTAATCAGCATTCAAGGAGGCATATAAATCGAAGGTAAATAAAATTTTCTTTCCACTTAAGTTAACGATCCAAAATTAAATCAAAACATTTATTTACTCCGAAACCTTGAAAACTCGTAAATAAAACAATACTACAGCTTCTTCGAACTAACATTCTCAGGTTAGACGTAGTGCATATCGTTCTAACAATTTGTAACATAAACATGCATCGCTACATTTTCAGAAGCTAAAGCCATGTATTCATTGGGCAACATTTGTTGATAAACACTGTTTATAAACTATCCATAAACAATGTTTCATCATCTCTTTAACCAGTTTATAAAAAGTCCATAAACATAGGTGATGAAACATTGTTTATGATACATGTTGCCGTTCTCCCCGCTATGATTGGAGAGCAAGTGTGGACGGCCAAGTTTCAGAAACCTGTGTTTATGGTAAAACTGTTTCACACTAGTCATAAACAGTTTGTCAACAAATGTTTCCTAACGAATACATGGCTTAAGAATCCTAGCCCAGCAGACTTTTTTTTATCGGCCGATAGTTGGGTTAACCCGATACCCAATCAGGTAGTGTACTTTCATACTTGTTCATACTAGCCCGATTAAACTATCGGCCGACAAAAGAATATAATCTATAAAAATAAAAATGAATTGATGTTCGTTAGTCTGATTATAACTCGAGAACGGCTGGGCCGATTGAGCTGATTTTGGTTTTAAAATGTTTGTCGTAGTCCAGGGTAGGTCTAAATGATGAGCAAATACGCGCGCGATATTGTTTTTCTGTGACAGACAAAATTCAACGCGGGCGAAGCCGCGGGCGGAAAGCTACTAAAGGTGCATACATGTACAGAGGTTAACATTATTGAGCCATGCTGGAAAGGCGCCCGCTCAGCGAAAATCGTAAAGGTTCGGCCAAACCAACGCGATCACACGAGATCAGCCTGCGTGCAGCGATGGCGACCAGACTTAAATGCATTGATCGCCATCGCTGCACGCCGGCTGATCGCGTGTGATCGCGTTCGTTCGTTCGTTCGTTCGTTTCAGCCAAATGACGTCCACTGCTGGACAAAGGCCTCCCCCAAGGTTTTCCACAATGAACGGTCCTGCGCTGCCCGCATCCAGGCTCTTCCCGCGACCTTTACCAGATCGTCGGTCCACCTATTAGGAGGCCTGCCCACGCTACGTCTTCCAGCCCGTGGTCGCCACTCGAGAACTTTCCTGCCCCAACGGCCATCGTCTCTACGAGCTATGTGCCCCGCCCACTGCCACTTGATTTTAGCAATCGTTTTAGTGATCGCGTTAGTTTGGCCAAACCTTAACATAATACAGGTCGTCAAGTCAAGAATCATCATCAAGAAGCTGTAATCATAAACGCCTGTAATCTGCGAGAACTCTACACAAATCACACTAAGTACAAGTAGAGTCGTGAATTAATAAATACCAACATTCACTATTCGCTGAATTCGTAATGCTCTAATGGCGTGACTGTTTGTGATTCTGTGTCAATTAAAAACTGTTCGCAGAAACTCCACTGACGGTACATTTGTAGTTTAATAAATTAGCTTGTGAGAATTCGTAGTTAGTTAATGTTAGAGAGCTTTGTTGGTAGCTCGGTACCTAATAACGTCCCTTACATGAAAAACTCTCTTATCTCAGTATTGCCACTTTCTCAAAACCACGGGTTTTCAGTTAGGTCATTTCAAATTTAGATTCTGTTTATACTTTACGGACCTCGTGGGAGGGAAAATAGGTATATACAGATACGTGAGTTAGAGAAAATCGTAGACAATGGAAGCAGGAAAAAAATTGTAGCCCTAACTCAAATCGCCAAAAGACTGAGATAGGATAGTTAGTCATGCGAGGGACGATAATGTCTTCTCTAGATGAAATAACTATAGATTTGTGACTACGAAAATGCTTTAAAACTTATTATTTGTCCCTCGTTGTGTTTAATATTTAATGACTTTACACTAAAACACTGTAATATTTTTATTGCGTAAAGTAAAAGAATTACTAATTTTACGCCCGTATTAACAAATAATGCTTGCTTAAGTGAAGCAGCAAATCGAGCGCACAGCGTTGAATAGGGCTCTGTGATTGATTTGTGTGTCCACGCGCACTGTGAAACCTCATAGTAATGTTTGTGAATACGGGCGTTAGTGACTCAAACTTAATTAATCAATTTAATTTCTCCTACATTTTCTATACGTACTATCCATTTGCAAAGTTCCAGTTACCAATGAAAATATAATCGCTCTCTATTTTCACTAAGACGTATTTTTAACGCTTAAAAACGTATTACAACAAGTCTCCAAAGCTTTCACAAACTATTAAGCCTACATCACACTAACCGCATTTTCTCGTTCCTCGGATACGCGATACACGCTTTTACTGCGTCGGTGTTGACAAAACTGATTAGTGCTGGAATGAGCTGCATCTAATGTCATGCGTTAGCTAAATGCCAAACCTCGTACCTCCAATAGACCTAATTTTATAGTACGAGTAACACCAAAAAATCTCACTGCGAAAAATTTATTTTAACTCGTGAAACCCTAAATGGTTGGTAACATTGATTTTTATTGTGTCTCCATTCGCTGGTAGGTTTTTTTTATGCAAGACAAGGCAGGTATTTGACCGCAATCGCACCTGGTGTTAAGTGAGATGCAGTCTAGGATGGTACATAATAATATCTGCTCTGTAAGTGCCTATTCATTCTCGCCTTGAAAAGACCCGGATTATAGTGTTCAGGAAATACAGCAGCAGGCAGCGCATTCCAGTCCCTAGCTGTTCGCATTATAAAAGATAGGTAGGTATAAAGGTACTTGAAGGGTTTAAACTACAACTTAAAAATGTACTATTTTTTTTAACTTTTACGAACTTTTGAGCTTAAATTACACTTAAGCGCATTTACTGGCTACGCGATATACGGTTTTACTGCGTTCGTGTTGACAAAACTGATTAGCGCTAGAATGAGCCGAGCTAGAATATCTAATACCATGTTGTGCGTCAACATGATAGTGCGTCGAAATGCAAATTCATTAAAATCGCTAGGATCGGTGATAAATCTAGATTTTGGGTGCAATATATGCAAAACTTTTGTCATAACAAGCTGTTTTAATAGCAGAATGTTAATGAACTAAAACCATAATTATTATTATGTATACGTAGTTGTTGCCATTGACGAAGGCGAGTGAGCTTTACATGTGTGGTGGACTGGTGGCTCGCTACTGTTCGTTTTCCAAAAGTTTTGATAGATGTGCTTAAACACGCACACACACACAAGTAAATCTCACTCGCCTTCGTGAGCTGCAAGAACTATACCTACATATTTTATCTAAGTAACTAAAGGAGAGCACGAAAATTTCGAATGCATTTTTGAGACACGGGTTTCATTTTATTCATGTAAATTAACGTTGCGTTGTCCTCAACAAACATTATCATAACCTATTTGCTACATTTAAAAAATCCTGAAGGGAAAAACAACAGATCATAATGAAAGCCTGGTTAATTAGAAATCTAGACCTTCACGCGAAACGCTGACATGTTCTTTTCATAGCATCTGACGTAGTGTCGAGTCGACGAAACAAATGACAGACGCGACGACTAACGTGACGTCATGACATGCGTGTGTAATTAGTTGATACAGCGTAGTGTAGAGTGGGCTTAATTTAATTGGTGCTTTTGTGTTGAAACACAATACTTTTCAAAATCTCTAATTGAAAAATCTTTAATAGAATCTTTGTTTTGCCTTTTGTTTTAGAAATGTTTTAAGACACAGTGCCAAACCTTAAACACCTAGCTCTTAGAGCCTTAATTTCTTAGAATTTTCATGATTTTAACGTTTGAAAATTAACCTTATAAACTTCTAATTTTTGTATTTTCTCGATAAATTCTTTAGAGCAATGAAATTAGGCTTCCTTCATCATATTACAGCCGTCTCTCATTACAGGCGTGTTTTTCTTTCGTTTAAGTATTTAAAGATTTGGTAACGCAATATTTTACCTAACAGTACGAAAGACGAGCCTTTATTTTAAAAATAATGGGCCAACTCTTGCCCGTATTAATTATCAACCCAACTCGGGAAGAAAAAACCGAGAAAAACGTTTAACTTAGTGACGTCGGGTTCCGTAACGAATGAGAAGATAAAATTAAGTTTTTGTTCGTTATTTAATAGAGTAGAGATTTTTGTTTTATGGTCTATATTGGGAGTAAAAACTATCAATTTAGAGTTTTGACTGATTCCTAGAATAATAGTAATAATACTAATCAGATATGAACCTTCAATCTAGCTTGAATAGCTTGAAGCATGTAATTGGTCTTTTTAAATTTAGCCAAACACAGATATTTTTTTTCACTTTAATTTGTGTTTGAGCCTCAGGTCTTGAATAATAACGCGAGTGGACTGTATTAAAGTTATTATAATTTCAATAAACGAAGCCACAACAATAGGTAAACAATGAATGTGCTATGCGTAAGTATGAGTGTCGTGCGCGCCGCTCGGTGGCCAAGTGTGGGATCGCCTTCACGCGCCGCCGTCGTCGCTCCCGGCACCTTTCACTGCGTCGCCCGCTCCTAGGCCAGTTGCCCGGGCGCGAACAATTTGAATTGAATTTTGAAGTCCACGCGTCAGATTCACCACTTACTGACAAAGTCCCTACAACTTATCTATCAGATAAACTTCTTTCTTGATACTTCTGTCTCTGATTTCTGGCATATTTGTTTGTTAGCGCCATAATGTCAGTTAATACCTGGAACCAAGAGCCAGTGAAACTAGTCCAAAGTGCTTCAAGTATAGCTAATGCCTCTAATTTTTAGCTACACTCAACTCTGTACTAGTAACATTATAAAGTGCATGAAACAGTGTACGAGTATGCAGACCATTTTAGTTTAAAATGCAGGCAGCAGATGCTCCCCGTTTCGCAAATTACTCGCAAACTGCTAAGCACTCTATCAATGTCATCCTGCCACTTGGAATTAACATGTTGTGATGTAAGTGAAAAAAATATTATGCATTATCTGCTTATGTACGTTTTCGGATTAGGTAGAAAGAAAGTAAAGAAGAAGAAGAAAGAAAGATTTAAATTATTTTATCTTCCTTTTTCTACTTGAAATTTGCTTACTTTATTCTAGCTGATTAATAAGACTCTAATAAGATCATAATAAACTGTCCATGGCATTTGAGTAGGTACACATTACACAAAAGTTGCAGCACTATAAACGAGAACCATCCCGTTTTAGGTACAGTTTAAGGTCTCTTTCCCACAGAACTAACGCTTTTTAACCGACTTATTAATCCCGTTTGCAGTGTCCCGCAAAAAACCGATCAGTTCGAATTTGGTGTTTTGTTATTCACACACTTGGGTGTTCACACGACAGTCAAGTTTTGCGGAGTCCAGCAATTATAGATTGTCGTGAGAAAGAGCTCTGAGAGCTAAAACATAAGATTAACTCTCAGCCAGTTCCAACACTTAATTAATTATCGTAACTAACGGAACCCTAACCCGTGACTTCATGAAAAGTTTAGCTGATAAATCGAACGGTCTAACGAGCCCTCGCGAAATGAAAAAACTTAGATTAATTCCAGTTTTCCTTGACAAATTAACGTCACTCTCCATAAAAGGGCCCTGAAATCTTGAGGGTTAGAAGTACACGCGATAAGTCTCACTTGAAATTAATTGGGTTTGGAAATATGAGATTAATTGCAGCTTGAATAAGGACTATTTTTGTAAGGAAATAAATTGCTCTAGCTTTTTTATAGCTTCGCAAGCTGAAAGAAGCGTATACTACACAAGATCGACGCAAATGGTGACATCTCTCAATCGAAGGCCAAGGCACACTATGTCGCTGAACTATCAAAGTAAAATTAACATTTTTGGAATAATTAATTTATCATTTTGCTTAGCGCATTTTAGCGCATTTTTACAATATCTATATTTATATTTTCAATTGTAAAGAGTGCGATAGTAAAATGTCATTGTTATCCAATTATTTTTCTTTTTTATGTATGTTTTGTACATTTTGTTAGTCGTTCTGTTGTTTATCCGCATTCCCTGATTTATTACTTCAATAGTAGCCATTTTAGACCATAACTTACGTTCAAAAGTTGATACAGTGTGTAATTTAACGGTCGAGTTTTGCATGTTGATGATAGCGTGGCAATTTATGTGAATTGGAAAATAAATTTTACATAAAAGCGGTAGACATGCATATTTACTTTGAACAGTAGCGGCCTAAGGGGGGGGGGCGGTGGGGGCGGTCCGCCCCGGGTGCCAAGCATCAGGGGATGACACAAGTCGCGCAGATTAGTACTCACTGACTCATCTGCATGGCAAATCTGCGGTCTATGTCATGATACGGGGGGTGCGATTGTCTTTCAATCTTCGAATCGGTAGGTAACCTCAAAATNGGTGACTGCCCTGGGTGCCAACCCATGCTACGCCGCCACTGACTTTGAATGCATTATACATGTAACACGAATATTAATAATCAAGTTAACAAAGTATTACAGTATAATCGGCAGCATATAGTGGCGAATCAGTCATAAGAACAATTTTGTTTCATAAGCAACTTCCGATTTTCATAACTTTGTTTTATAGCCACGATAGCCGAACGGTGAAGTGGTCGGAGTGGCCGATTCGAACAAGCTTATTTAGCTTAACACGAGGGGCTAACAGGACTATTAGTAATTTGTGCAATACAAATTGCTAATAATCTTAAAAAAAGGTTATACTACATAAGTTTCAAAACCGACTGAGGAAAGTTATCATTTAAAGAAAATTGATTATATTTCTATGTCAACAATTGGACCTTATTCAGAAACGATACTAAAAACTAGATTCAAACACAATATTATATGTCATTTCTTAATTCAGAGCGTAAGAATCAATACCCATTTCTGACATCAAAGTAACAAAGAAATTCGAATTTTATTCATTCGGATTAAAATCGAAAGTTGCTTAGTTCAAAATAGGTGTTGATACTCCGTCGTACACTTTACATAATCTACTATAAGCACAACAAGTACATAAGTCTATATTTTAATTTACTAAAGCGTTATATGACAATAGACGCACATTTTAACATTATTATTTTGATGTTTTAGACACAATAAAAGCATACAGATTGCTTTAGGAAGGAAGGAAGGTAGGAAGATCATAGGAAAGACAACAATAATGCAGGCAGTCTTATATTCAGAAAGCAACCTCTTCCAGACAATCCGGAAGCGAATACCTACATCTATTTACGAGTAAAGGACCACAATTTCCACAAACTCAGCATATTCAGTAGGTATCAGAGAAAAATTGAAAAAAGAATATCGATGTTCTTTTTTCATTTTTTTTACGACAAAAGTTACCTTAATCATGAACCACAGATAAAATGAGTAATTATTCTTGATTAAGGCAACTTCATATTTTAAATTGCTGCTAACATTTACCATTGTTAAAGACCGTTTCTTTCACGAAGACGCGCCCCACCAATTTTTGGTGGGAAGGTAGAAGCGCGGGGTGCGGGGAGTTTGATCCGAGCAATCCGAGCTTCATTATTGTAGTGTGCGTGTGTACTCATGGTACTACTTAGCGTGTAACCGATAGCACACAAACATTGGCGGAAGAATGTCGCCTCTTCGTGGATTAAAAGATCTATACATACATCTTAATTATGTCATTGCCATGACTACATGAAAAAAAAGACGAGCATATGTTTTTTTAAACATCCACTAAATTTTGTACCTGGAATCCTGGATCCACAGATCCCTGGTGTCCAGGGGAGGAAGCTCCGTCTCAGTGGAAGCAGCGGAGTGCTGAGGAGTGCCTCTCGGACCGAGAAACCTCCGCCAGGTGCACCGACGTTCTGTAATTAAATACCTAATGAGTAATAAGTTATGCCAAAGTTCGCTTAAAAGATTTATCATCAATATCTTTATGATCTGCAGGAGTGCCTTCGCTAAAGAGGTGAAATTCATTTTGCATTTTGTAGCCTATGTGTCGTTTTATTGTATGGACAATAGCTTTGCCACAGCCCTAACAACACTTTCACTTAGGCTGTACCACCTTACTTTAACCATAACTATAGCAATAACAAGTGTTTTTGTATGGATTTTGACAATTTTTTTACGTTTGTCAAAGTTGAAGTAAGATGGTGCAAATCAGCCTTATTTTATTTTGTTGCATTATGTAGCTCCGCATTCATTATACTATTATTGATCATATCTGTGGACAATGGTGCTGTTTACATTTTTACTATTTTTTTAAGTTATTAAAATTCAGCACATAAGCCCTCAATGTAACTGTTTGTTGTCCTAAGTAAAGACAATAAAAAATGAATTGGACCTACTCTCCCTGCGGTGTCCTGACGGGTTGGACATGCCTTTTCGGCCTTTTTATTACTCCTGCTACCTTGGTTATTGGATAGACGATATTATTATGATGATGATAGTGACACAAAGTTAAAAAAATGAGAAAATTGGAATTTTAATCCTAATTAAATACGCGTCTTTACAATGTAACAACTATTACCTATATTGTCATTAAAATGTCAACTTAGTCCTAATTGAGTAGACTGATAATACGATGTGAGAAAAATATTTTATTCTGTGAATATGAATATTGTTGGTAAAATATTAAATCATTAACCTAATGAATCTCAAAATAAACCGTGCAAATATAAAATTACACAAATTATTAATATGAATATTGTTGGGAAAATATTAAATCATTAACCTAACGAATCTCAAAATAAACCGTGCAAATATAAAATTACACAAATTATTAATTAATTGAAGTCTTCAAAGAGCTGTTAAATATTCCTATCATTTTGCTGCTTAATTGATACTTATTCTTGAGCTTAATGATGTAATTCAATGGAAAGCTTAAGATGGAAAATGGCGTCCATATGAAAATTAGATTATAAGTGAATAGAAAGTAAAATGTAAAAGTTGGATTGCTTAATTCTTTAACCAATAAGAAAACTTATGAAGGTCTCGGGAAGCACCTGTATGCGGGCAGCGCAAGACTGGCCATTGTGGAAATCCTCTGGGAAAGCCTTCGTCCAGCAGCGGACGGCACTAGGTTGCAATAGCAATAAGTACACGTAGTAATATGTCTACAATATAATTTTAAGACTGGGTTGCACCATCTTACTTTATGATAACATCATAGAAAAATCAAACTCCATAGAAAAATCAAACTCCATAGAAAAATCACCGGTTATCGTTACAGTCACGGTCAAAGTTTGGTGGTGAAATTCAGCTTAAGACTAGGCGCAGACCACCGATTTTAGTTGGCCGATAGTTGTGCCCGCTGATTTTCAATTGTATGAAAAATCTGCCAAATCAATGTGCGCACTTCCATACTGATCAACTGCCCGACTAAACTATCGGCCAACGAAAAATCGATTGTCTGCGTCTAGGCTAAGTGTGTTAATAAGAATCTTTATCTACAGCAGTGGTTCTTAACCGGTGGTCCGCGGACCACTGGTGGTCCCTGGAGGCATTCCAAGTGGTCCACGAAGACATCGTAATAAACAAGTGATGTGACGTGATGAGTCGAGTCAACATAACGCAAACGGGGTACAGTGGGCGAGAAATTGACCTCCCCTTTCATAGGATTTTGAAAAAAAAAGTGGTCCCTCGTGACTTAAAGGTTAAGAACCACTGATCTAGAGTCTAGATAGTCGAAAATTATATTTTGGGAATGATTCATTAAGTTGTCTAACGACATGGAGTCCTGGTAATTTTGGATGACTTTAATAGCATTTTGTAGTAGTCATTATAAATATTCAGTAATTTTTAAGTGATCACTTTATATTTTTGGTCATTTGATACAACCCAAGAGCCAACCACCGTTGTTTATTGTCAGCACATAATTTTGTTTACAAAACTTCGAACGGTTACATTATCGGTAATCAGTTAAAAGCATTCGTGTTTGTCGTGTACACGGAAGGTTCGATTTTGGGGCTATTCATCCCCTAGCCCAAAGGGTTGGGCCATTTCAACCCGATCGCCATGTTTTTGAGTAATGCTTAAATGGGACAAGACTTAAGAAAATGAGGAGACTTGAAGAGAGGCCTGAGCTCTCTTTTCAGAGATTTTGCTCGTGTAAGTTTCACTTACGAAAACCCTTTGGATACGAAATTGTGTAAACATAATATATATTTACCCGGGGCAAGCAAAAAGCGCCCTAAGTCTAAAATACGTTTTTTCAGCGTAGAATAAATTTCCATACCTACATGTATTTATGTTATCTGTAAAAACAAATTTACTAACTTTACGAGTAGGTACGAACGACAGCACATCAACCTAAACACAGCGGCGTCTTATCTCGTTGTAATACAGGCTATTTTGAAACAAAAATGTATAGGTTGATGTGCTGTCGACTGTACATATTTAAATTACCTACTTACTGTTTGCTTATGCATTTACTTTTTATTAACTAGCGGCCGCCCGCGACTTCGTACGCGTGGATCCCGTTTTACCCCCTTAGGGGTTGAATTTTGCAAAATCCCGTCTTAGTGAGCACCTACGTTCTAAAAAGAACCCCCATACAACATTTGAGACTTCTAGCACTTGTAGCTTCTGAGATTTCGTGATGGGTGAGTCAGTTTATTTCGCTTTTATAGATATACTTAGATGAAAAAACTTAAAACAATAATAAAAATAATACTTCTCAATATCAGCAGTACATTAATTTACTTTAAAAACCCGTGAGGTTTTCTTTCAATACCGGAACAACCAGTTCCGAGAATCTTTAAGAAGAAAATACAAAATAATTATTATTATAATTGAAGATCATCAATAATCTACTATATTTATAAGAACCGTTCAATAAAAGTACCTACTTGTATTCATCATAATATACCTTTAAATCCTGTACCAGTAATATTTCTAAAATTTAAAAACTCATTCAAACACTTATCGTAATTTAGCCCCGAAGATATACGAGTATCTATTATGAGAGATTAAAAGACGGTTTCTCAGCAAAAAATGGACATCCTAATCCTAAGAGATTGACTCGTTCCAGACTTAATGGATGGAAACGTAAGGGATTTCTGGAATGCTAAGGTTTTATTCCAGCTACAATAATTATTTCTGCGTCCGTTCGGTTAGGATTTAGTTTTCTTTTGTTTTTGAGTTGTTACATCTGAAGTTTTAAGAAGAAGACAAATGAAAAACATAAAGTTGATTTGCTTCATAAAAAAAGAAGAGTAACAATTTATTTAACTAGATTAACGAAATTAATTAATGCACACTTATAAAAAATATTAATTTAAAAAATTTTACGAAAATTTCTACATTATTTTAAGTGAAACTTATTATCTTTTTAAATAACGCAATGTTTTATTTAATAGTCTATTTAAAATTACTTCTATTATTGGTTCCATAGTATAAAATAATAATCTTCGGTATCATTCGCACTGGAATTTCTGCCTGTCTATCAAAAACATTCAAAGTAGGCTACTGGGTTAGTTTAAGTTAGTTGTTCTGTTAGTTGAAACTTTGACAACTCTTATAATAATATGAATAACCGCACTATCTAAAATAAAACTTATTATAAGTATATTTCTAGGGTTTTATTATAGGTATGTGTTTTAATGTGGGTATATTGGCTGAAAAAAAATATGCTTTTAAAAAAAGATGGAATATATTTTTCATGAAACTATTTTGTAGCTGACTGTACTCAAAACATTAATATAAATCTAACACAATAAAGAGACGTTATAATGGTAGAATTAAATACTACATCAATTACATTTTTATTTATTTCCATTTTGTCTTCTACCACAACTACATTAGGTATGACATTTAAGCTGTCGCTATACACCTACATTCTAAATAAGCACTCTAGAAGTTTCAGCCTCTATCTCGATAGGATTTCTCGCAAAGTTGTTGCAATCGGATTGGCGATGCCGGTCTGAGTACCGAGTTAGTGATCGCCACAAATGAAGTTAGAGGTCGCAGACTCAGTTCTCCGAAGGAGCACGAAATAAGTATCTAATGGAATTTTCGTCTTTGTGTGATAAATCCTTATATTTTCGTAAGTACAACTGAGGTCATATTTGAAAGACAAATAACTAAATCTATGCTACTAGGTACTAGAAAGGACGAGTTACTTCATTATTTACTACATACTTTTTTGTGAGAACAAAAAGGTACAGGTGCAAATTACATTCGAAAAAACACGTTACTCGCTAAACGAGTTAAATCTGTCACGAATGACTTTGTCTAGGGAGCAGATATCGATAGAAAGAAAGAAATATTTTTTATAAGTAAAATTTGTGGACGGAGCAGTCCTAGGTACTTTGCAATGCAATTGCGATACCCATTGCAATACCACGAAGCCACGATGGCCGAACGGTGAAGGGGTCCGACTGGTCGACTCGTGATCCGGGGAACGCGGGTTCTGTCCCCGCCGCCGCTCGACTATTGTGGTGAGCTCACTCGTGACCCAAGCAGATTTAGCTTAGTACGAGGGGCTAACGGGACTATTAGTAATTTGTGCAATAACAATTATTACTAATAATCGTTAAAAATGGACTCAGCAGATAACGGACGGGCAGGCATACTTGTTTTGGCATCGACCGCATATTAAATTAGCACGTTTTAACCTACTGTACCTAGCTCCACTGTGGCTTGGTGTTCACGTGCTAGTTCACATTGTGTTTAGTTTAATAGCCTCAAAGGCCCGGCATTAGTGGCGATCATTGGATTGAGTAAGGACCAGTCTTTGTGAGGAGATTTGCGCATTTAGTTAAATACTGTTTGGGAATCCTTGAGTACTCGAAATGGCAATTGGATCTAATTGAATATCTTGAAAGGCCACTGGAAGAGGCGAGATAGGGTAAATTGGTTTGTA